CTATGTAATTTTGACAGATGTAATTAAATTTAAGTACGTTACATTAAAATACTATATTTTAAAGATGAGACATTCTATAATCAGTATTACTTTCATGAAAGTGACACTCTGTTTAAAAAAACCAAACCTGTCACACTTGATGAACAGAAAAAAATATTCATATGATATTTAGATTAAGTCTAGCAGCTGAAGCCAATGTTTCACAGGGGAAAAAATCCTACCAACAACAACCAAACAGCCAGAAAAAAAAAAAAAAAAGCCAAATTGACAAAAAATAAACTAAAAAACCCCTTAAAACAAGCCCTCCCACTTTTAGGATATTGCTGATGTCTTTAATAACACCATGTGCATGCATCCTTATCAAAAGTAATACCTACATCACACATCCATAGCAGGTAAAGTATGGAAGATACAAGTCCCAGCATTAAGTGGTAGAATATTCTGCCAGTCTAAATATGTAACTGAAACAGTGAAAACTGAGAATATTTCAGTATAAACTCCCATAGAAAAAAAATGTAACTGAAACAGTGAAAACTGGGAATATTTCAGTATAAACTCCCATAGAATTTGTTATACATCCCAAAGTTACTATTGCAAAAAGAGCAGGAAATTTAGACTTTAAACATCTTAAGGCACTAATGGATCTGAGGTGTTAGAGCTGCAATTTTACATATAATTACACCATGAGAGGTCATGCATACATTTTCCAAAATCTGCCTATAAAATCAGTTGATCAAAATTAGGACTGGAATATTTTATTGTCCCACTTGAAAATGTTTTAGTACCTTTATAAATTCACTGTGAGCAGTTACTTATATGCCAGGTACTCCATGGCAGTACAGAGCTGTGATTAAATTAGTCTCAAATACACACCAGTTGCTATCCATGTAGAATGATTTACAGTGTGCTAATGAGCTTCAAAGCTCCTTTAATTATTTTTCAGATTTACAGAAACCATTTATATGCCCACCAGCCCCTCACCTTAGCCTCATGTCTTGCTGCTGGTTTCAATACTCATCCCCACTCTGCCCCCCAAACTGTTCCTTCCTTCATCTTTCATCATTTCATAGCTGAATATGAGTACCTTTCCTGCATATTATCCTTTAAAACTGAGAGAATACAATAAAAGAATCAGATTAAGGAAAACACATGAATTGGAGCATTTTATCTGAGTTATGAAAACTGTATCTAGAACACAATAGTGGAGAGTAAGCAAATAGTTGAGAGAAAATGGTTGTAAAATCAAAACTACTGTTTGCTTCTCATCTGCTGTGAGAAACCCTCTTTTCAGACTTGTCTGATTTTTGAGCTATGAAAACTGCAGTATAAACCTGGAAAGAATTGGTTTCTGTAATCTCTTAGATTACTTCTACATTAGGATAATTTCATAAGTAACTAGATTCATATTTTTACAAATATCTGGTGGCAGAGTTTTGAATTATACACAAATATTCACTTTCTACCACCAAAGCTCTTAAAATGAACATTTTTTTTCAAATTACAGGTATTAAAAATGAAAGAGGTTATAATTTCCAAAAACCTTGATACTTTGAAACTTGCATATATACACTCCAATTCTGAGGTTTGTAAACATTCAGGCAGAAGCCAGTTCTGAAGAACAGGTGTTTCTCAAATTGAGATACTGTAGGAAAGTTACTCTCTGTTAACTACATTACAGCTAAAGAAGCAATTTATGAACACTTAATTTATTTAAAATCCAACACTTTTTAACTGCTTAATTCTCATGCCTCTGTCAGATGAAGGAATGAAGTGCTCAACTGTTGTTTTTACAGTATAATGCTTCAAGGAACATGACACAGTTTAAGGCCTGATCTCAGCTCAGAGAAGCTTTTGTACTTCCTAAACCAGACTACGAGATTCCCTTTTTATACTGAAATCCTCATCTTCAAAGTGAAATGGGGAAATGGTAGGAACCTCTGGGTTTTAAGAGCTCTGAAGGATAGAAAAACCTGCATGAAGCAACCAGATACCTAGGGAACTGTGAAGCTTCCACTCCTCTGGGCAGTGGGAATCGAAAGCTGCTAAGTCTGACAAATTCTTAAATGTGTTGTGGTTTGGGTAAAAAAAAAAAAAAAAAAAAAAAAAAATATGAGTAAACCAGCTTAGTGCTTAGCCAGATTAGTGCTTCAATACTTGCTTAATCATTTACAGTGCAGAACATTTGTGAATGCTGCAGTGCTGAATTGGCTAAGCTCTAAAGACAGTTTACATAACCAAGCATTAAACTTCAAATAGCTGAGCAAGGTCATTGCTGCCCCTAGCGCCAAGAAGAGCTCTCAAGTACTCTAAGATTTCTGGCCTAGTTAGCATGTTTGCAAAGTTCTTCCTAGGACTCTCTTGGCAATTATAAAAGCCCATTTCTCTACTGAAATGCAGAGGAACTTTACAAGAGCAAAGCAGCAGATGTTCTCTTCTCCTGAAAAAGTTGAAATGCAGAGGAACTTTACAAGAACAAATCAGCAGATGTTCTCTTCTCCTGAAAAAGCTTTAAGGTTACTAAGAAAGGGAAAAAAAACTTGTTGGAAAAAGTGTTAAAAACTAAGATCTAAATACATGTAAACTCCCACTGTATGGAATAAACACTCCTTGATTTCACATAGAGCATGTTGATGATTAGCCTAAGATTGTTTGGCTTGTCCTCAAGAAATATCTAATGTCAAGCACAGAATACTGCACACTGTCTCATGCTATTAATATCTCTGAATAATACAAAATCCACCCATCCTACAAGGTACTTATTTTCTGAGCCTTGTGAAATCTCTGTGGCATTTTCTGATACTTTATGCAGCAGGTAATTTAAGATTCAAAAATCATATTCTCAGAAAAAAACTCACAGGCTTAACCTTACCCTCGAAGGTCAAAGAAACAGGTGAAAAAATACTTAGTTTGTCATAACTATAACTTCAGATTGCATCACTCACAGGATTCTCATTCAGACATTTTTATCTGCTCCATCAGTATGTACTTTATGGTTGCCATATCTGTACCTTTATCCTTTTCTATTTGAAAACACAAAGGTTGTAATAAACTCAAACTCCCTTTAGTTTACTTTGACAATACAAAATGTCCAACATGACAAAGGAAATAGACCATGAAATCTGTGTGAACAGTAAGTCTTCAAGAAACACAGTTATCACAAGACTTAAACTTAATCTTTCCCATTTAAGTGCTCATCAAGATGGATTACAGATATCAGAAAGCTAGAGGGGATCACAGTTTTATTCCCTATGAACCCAAACCACTCAACTTCCTTGAGTTTCCCTTATTAAGATAATTAATTTACAATGGTTCAGTTTTATCTTCCAAAACATTTCCAGTCTTATGCTGAAACATGAAGACATTCAAATTCTATTTGATTAATTGATCCAGGTGATCACATATCCTCAAGGGAAGACATTAACTTCATGAATGTAAAGCAGTTGATTTTACACTCTAGGAAAACAGAAACTCATAGGCTGAAGACCAAGGCAGTGGACACCAAAGACAGTATGACCAGAATTTTGCAGGTGCCTCCTGAATTTAGTGACAGGAGGACATTTTCTGAGAAAGGAACATTCTGAAACTCTTGGGTTGAAAGGAAAGATTGAGACAGGTTTGACCACTGCAGTCAGGTTAGAGCTGAGAGACATATTGGCTGTTATTTACTCCTTTCCTTTGAAAGGTCCAGAAAGAAGAGTAAGAGGATAATTGCATGAGAACAAAAATAGCAGGATAGCAGCACAGGCTATAACATCAAGAGGAGTACAGAGCTTTGCTTCATCTGTCAGAGAAACAGACTGTAAGCAGGAATCCAGCTGACCCTCAGGGGTATGTCTGAGCCAGTGCTGCTTAGGTGAGCAGGTTATGACTGACCAGTGTTTGTCATAAAAAAACCATGGAAGTGATGCTGAGATTAATGGGAATGTTTACAGCTCTCCTAGCTATTGCTATAGTCTCTCCAATCCACATCTCAAATAACCATCACAGAATTATTCATGATGTATTTGTAAGTTGCTATTCACAAATATAAGGACTATAAAACTTGTTGTTTTGCCTTTTTTTATTTATTTATTTCACAGCAAAGCTTCTATCTGAAAATCAAGTGGTTATTTCATGAACTTTGGTTTGGAAAAACCTCGAGGCACCCAGTATGAGATAAAAGCCTAAGAAAGCCTAAATCCATGAAGTTCCACCAGCATAGCAGCAGTTCTGAGGTTTGGATAAAGCTTGTGGAAAGCAGCTCAAGTAACAGTTAAATCTCAAAAAACAACCCCAACAAAACTCAGCAGTCTGATACTATTTCATATATTTGAATTAAAACGAAAGATCTTTAATTATACTATCTGGAATATGAGAACTATTCATCATAGTGTAAAACTTTTTTTTTTTGAACATTTTATAGATAAAATGATATGAGCTTTTTAATTATCTGTCAGGTGAGAAGCACAACACTGGGATAAAGATTACTTCATTACATAAGTATTTCAAAAGCTGTTATTTCACCCATCTACCAGAAAAGCCCCAAATTACATTTGCAATACAGGTCTCATGCTGAGCAGACTGATGCACATTTTCAGGCTTCCTGAGACTGGAGAAGAAGCTGCTTTTAGCCATATTGTGACACATGGTACACAGGATATTTCCCTCCCACTTTTAACAGCCAAGCTTCACTCTGTAGCTTGGTAGAGAACATGTGAATATATGCCAGAGTACAAAACTGACAGGATTGCTGAGTTTGTTCCTAGACTTTCTGTTTCCATTTGACTTTTTTTTTCCCATGGACATATATTACACAGCATGTTGAAAAACTATTCACATACATAACAGAGAAGAAGAATATGAAGCAACTTTTAAAATATTGATATAAGGAAAATGATGTCTCAAAAAAGAATTGCAAAAATACTTTAAAGGAGAGTTTCTGCATAATTACACATAACAAACAGAGCACCTTCAACTTAAAAGTCATCAAAAAGAAAAGGAAAACCAAACTGTTGACCAACCTTTATGTCTGTGAGATCCATCCATGTCAGAAAACTCAATATGGTTTTCATCAGCCCAATACAGTCTGTGGTTCACATAATCTATTGTAAGAGCCATAGGTCTGGATATCTGTGTTTCTATGATAACTGTTTGTCTGGATCCATCCATCCCAACACGGCCAATGTGAGGATACTCACAGCAATCAATCCAGTATAAGTATCTATAAAACACAACACAACAGCTGAATAATAACAATAAATCATTGACCAGAGTGGTTGTGGATGCTCCATCCCTGGAAGTGTTCAAGGCCAGGCTGGATGGGGCCCTGAGCAACCTGATCTAGTGAATGACATCCCTACCTATGGCACAGGGTTGGAACTAGAAGATCATTAAGGTACCTTCCAACCCAAACCAATCTATGCCTCTATGATTAATTTATTTAGTTGCTCTCAAGAATAAATCAGTAATTCTTCTATAACATCTCCACCTTCCAGGCAATTTCTTTTTATTTTTTCTAGGCCTGTTTGTAAATAAGTGTGTTAAATGTAAAGGGTTTGAATAGGAGAGTCCTCATGTTAGGAGTTATTTTAATAAATTAATTATGGACTAGTAAAAAGTATCTTTAAATTGCTTGGTCTTGAAACCTTGGAAACTGAAGTGCCACCCAAACTGGGCTTGGTGAATTTCATATCCTGCCTAAATGGCATTACTAATAAATTCATCACAAGTATTGTATTGTACTTAGGTGTTTTTACACGTTACAAAACTTTATTTGCTCATAACAGAAACATAATGCATATAATTGCTTTGAGTTATAATGCTTAAAAAGTACTAGTTCCAAAACATTAGACCAGCTTCTCACACAGAGAGCTGAAGCACTGAGAAAGATTGTTGGAAAGCTGAGTAGCAATTTTCTCCTCAATATGCTACTTAACCACAATACAGAGCATGTTTGTCAAAAAGAAAGCAAAAGTCCTATTATTTAGTACATGGATGCATGTTGCTATTGTTGTATGCTGTTCCCCAGAATCTCAGGACAGATCATTCCAGCTGGGAAGCTGATAGGCTTCTACTGTACAGGTTATAACCAGGCTCCCCAAAATGCAGATGCAGCTCCTATTCTTAATAACCACCTGGAAAGGTATTTGTGTGCAGGAGACAATGGGGATCCTAAGGACAGCTCCAGGTATCCTACAACACACAGGTGCAGTATGTTGGCACCAAGCCTGATCCACATAAGCAGTAGAGAAAGGGAACTCTCCACTGACTCCAACAGAAAATGTTCTCTTTGGAAACATATTACTATTGCATGACGTCTGCCATAGAGTGATTCACATTTCTCATTTGTGAGATATAAACAATACTACTTCAAATAATAGCTCTGAATTTGAGGTTTTTATTTCCAGGAGCTTTCCATATTAAAATAAATGAACAAAAAAAGCATATTTTTATAAATTGAAGGAAAATAACTTGGCTGGCCTTGGAAGCTGTCTGGACACACTGAGCAGGAGCCCTGTAAGTTTGTCCTGCCTGTGCATGTCTAAACCTTCCTGAAAGACTGGGACTTCCTGTACAAAATTTCTAGTGATATTTGCACACACAGGGAACAGATCCTGCATGTCCAGGTAACCAGAGACATGTATTGGTACCTTGAATACATTTAACAAAGGTTTACATCCTCCCTGCCAAATTTTACAGGGAACAAAGATTAGAGTTATAAGAAAATTAAATTCTAGTTTTAAAAACGTTTCTCTTAAAGCAGTAAAGTAGATAGGTAAAATTTCTATGCTAGGAAATTCACTGCTTTTCTTTGTTTAGGTGAAATCCAGACCAACTCAACAATTTTCTCTTATCACTGACACTTGAGGTGATTTCTTGAGCTTTAGGCTTTAGAGGTGGACAAGAAACATTAATTGGCCTTGTTATTAAAGAATGTTGTAAGACCCTACAGTGGTTTTAGTCATCCAGTTTACACAGCTGTATCCTAATGTTGCACAAACCAGACAGCATTATATATGGGATTCAGATGTGAATTGACATAGGGCAAATTTTCCATAGTCTGTATTTTATTCCTTCAGAGACTAGCTAATAATTTAAGTATTTGATCAAAAGAGGATTAAATATGAATTACTGCAAATTGGCTGCTTCATACCCAGCTTGAGGATCTAAGCACAGATCTCTAGGAAACTTCACTCTCTTGCTCACAAGGACGGTTGGGTATAAGCCATTGAGTTTAGACACCTCAATAATTCTCTTCTCAGTATCAGACCAATAGAGATTCTTCCCAATCCAATCGACAGCCAATGCATTGGGGACAGCTGTATTGTGGATTACCTAGGAAAGCAAAAATTACATAAATTATTCATCTAAATACCGGGAAAAGGCACAACAATTCAAAAGCTAGTGACAACAGGGTATTTTCAGGCTGGATATTTGATGCAGTAACATACAAGATGTGAAAAATGGGGATGATTCACTGTCAAACACAGTTCTTGAGTAACAACACTCCTTAATTAGCTATGACAATGTGACACTTTCCTTTTAGTAAGGAAGAATGGAGAATACCATGATGTAGTAAATTGTTAATCCTCAACTTCTCTGCATTATGCACCAACTTTTAAAAACTTTGGATCTTCCAGTTTCCTTGTTAAGTTTCTGGTTTTCCTTTTCTCTTAATGTAAAATAGAAAGGAACAACTTTTTTCCCTTTACTATTCTACTTTTTTTTTCACAAGAGAGAATGGAGATGAGGCTTCTCTCCCCACGGTGTGCCCTCAAACACATCTGCTTCTCAGCCCCCCATTTCTCTCTCAGGTCCACACCAGCACATCTTTCATTTTAATATCACAGTAGTGCCATATGTCATCATGACAGACAGACCATAAGAGCACCCAGCTGAGTTACAAAAAAAGATTACTAGTTTGAAAGTAAATACTGTGCTCTTATTTCCAACATTCACATAGCAGAAGGAAGAGGAACTTTCCAAGAATTAGTTAAATCTCAAAAGGACTCGACTACATTATTAAGGAGTAAAAGACAGAAGCAATTTAGTCACCTACTGGAAAGCCTACACTCTACTGACAGGGATGTGTTATTCTCAAGGTTTTTGATGACTTGAATAATTCTGGAACTTGAACAAATTCCTCTAGATATATGCAACTGAAAATCTCATCGTGATTGCATGACTCAGTCTTGCGTGGCTGGGAGTACTTCATGTCAAGTGTTGAGTAATATTTGAATATTCCCAATGATTTGAGTCCAGCTTTTTCTAGGCTTGAAAATTCTATTCCTGAGAAGTCTATTCTGACCTATTCTACGCCTGATTAGGTTCTGATTAGGTCTATGCAACTAGAACTTAAGAAAAATCACAAATCAGAAAGCAATACTTGAAAATATTTTAGATTTCTTAAGTACTAATAATGTGTTTATTACTGTGATGTACATTCTAATTCATTGTCATCTTCATCACTAAAAGCATCTGCAGTAGAGTGCAAACTTCACACGTAAACCTGATTATGTATAACTGAATGTGTTAGTTTTAATTTTATTTACCATTTGAAGATACTGGAAAGCCTTCAAGACAAGAAGGGATACGGTGAGATGCTTTAAATCAATTTTATAGTTATAAATATGCAAAAGCACCTTCTCAGGTTGTTAAGTTATTTATCACCTTATGAAATCTTTTTACAATTAAATTCAGGCATGCACTGATTTTTTAATATGGATAAAATACTCTATTTTCTAATACCTTCACTTTACCAGCTTCACTGTTTTATAAATGTGTAATTGCAGCAACTGTTGCACTATAACATGAGACATTTCATGAGGAAATGGAGAATTGAAAATTCAGATAGTGGTTTAGCTACACCATCTGAACACTACACTACAACATCAACCGCAGTAATTAGTCTCTCTATTCTGATGACTTTTCCTTTGGAGAGTCACTTTAAGCTCATTCCAGTCACTGAGATCACCAGTGTGACCTTTAATGTGCACAATCCAGCTTGCCACAGCATTTTCCAGCAACATTTGCATCTCCAACACTGTACATAAAACACTGTGTTAATGTCTGAACACATTTATATGGAAAAGTTGTCATTTCAATGCTATAAATATCTCCACGATCAAATGCAGAAGAAAAATGAGATGTCATCAGGTTTCCCAGGGCAGGAAAGCTAGAGGTGGTATGCTGAAAAGATAGCATCTTCTAAAAGGGAAATCCCAGGTAATATATCACATAGGATAATTTACACTGATATATATATCTATTTATAGTCAAGAGTAACATAAGGAGAATGAAGGTATAAAAATAAGAAACTCAGACTTCAAGGGAAAAACCTGTCAACCATAAAAACTCTATTTCCTGACCAAAAAAGGTATTAAAATATGCATGCAGGTTTGCTGGATAACAAATAATAACAAATGTTAAAATTATTTGATTTCAAAATAATTTTAATAACATCACTTATTAAATATGTTCTATGGTAATCCTTTAGAAAGTCAAAGAGACATCAAATTATCATTTGGCACTGGCTAAAAGATTACTGGCAGAATATTTGACAGCTACAATATATAAATCTTGATAAACCACTGACCATATTTTTAGCTTTCAAAAGTCAAATCTGGGCCAAGTTTTAGAGAGGAAAAAACCTCTAAATTTTTATATGAGAATTAAGTGCACTTATTTTCATATTTTTTTGCTTTGAATGAAGCATCTTAATTGAGCAAAATCTTCATCAACAGGACACTTTTTCTGTAAATTGCAAAATTTTAATGATGGACAAAATGTAATACACTCCATGCCCCTATTGTAATTTTCTTCTATTGTTTGTTAAAACTTCTGAAAACTTTCCTTAAAAAACAGAATTATTATTTAATCAGTACAAAGCAATAAGTGGTTTTTTTTCTATTCTCCCATCTGGTTATTACAACATTTTGACTCAGAAAAATTCTTTATGTTTTTTTTCTATTTTCCCATCTGGTTATTAAAACATTTTGACTCAGAAAAATTCTTTATTCTTCTTGAAACAGTTAAAATTAGAAATAAAAAGTCTGGGGTCATCCTCAGTCCTTTATGACACAGACTCATCCCAAAGGGGCTGAAGCTGAATAGAAGAATTTGGAAATTTTTTAAAGGTAACAAATACAATTCAAAGATTAAATGGGTTTTGAACCCCACACTTACCTTTCTTCTACGTATTTGCAGGAAAAAAAAATCTTCACAGGGATTGACTAGAACTTTTGAGTGCAAACTGGATGTTAGTTTTACCTCAATGGGATTAGAATGCTATAAGTTACGGTCAGACAATTATTTTTTTTCTCAAGGACTATTATTTTGATGTGAAGGATGCAAACAAGGTTCACTGAAGCCAGTTTCAAACCCTAACTCTCAAAAAGACCAAAGCTGATGTGCTCTGAGGATGTGTCAGTCCATGCACTAAGCTCCAAGTGAGAAATTGCAATCTTTTCTCTCTGCATATTCATTGGTGTCCAATGAGGGAACAAAATTCACAGGATGTGTTACTACTCATTTGCCCCATGTTTCAGAAGGTCAGACATAATAGAATAAACAAAGTAGAATTCCTTACTGTGTATCACCAGTTCTGGAAAAATGTTCAGATATGTCAACAAATGTGCTTAATGGTGGATTTGTGAATTTAATCCACTACAGACACAGAAGTGACAGGCTGTACAGAAATGGGAGTGCAGTTTTACCTGGGATTATTCACAGCAAAGACATTGAGTTATTTTCATTATCAGTACAGTGGAGATGAGACAAAAACAAACTGAAGAGCACAGAAAATTTTATAAGAAGAAATAATACACCAGAGTATTTACACAGCTTACACCTAATTATAGCTCTTTTTCTTTGGTGTCCTGTAAACCACATGGAACTGCCAATTCAGTCAACTGTCAAATAAGTTATAAGGAATTTAGCTCATAAATAAAGTCCTCTTAGTCCTTATCTCTACTTCAAATAAGATATAAATGCAATTAAATTTTACTAGGACTTGCTGGATCATGCTGTGTTTGCATTCATATACCAAAGCCTTACAATCTGGGTTAAAAACATGAAGGAGCATTTCCCAAAATACTCGAAACATTTAATTCTACTAGTGACATTATTAATCCCCAATTACCTTGATGTCACTTCCATTTAAAGACATTCTGTTTATGCGACTGCCATTTGGTCTGCTGGAATCAATCCAATAGATGAACTCTTCTCTATAGTCAAAGTCTATTGCAATCACATTGTTCAGGCCCTAAAAACAGAAAAAAAAAAGTCCATTTATTCAAATGCCTGAATGCAAACTGCTGGATTTGCATTCAGAATGCAAAATACATTGCAGGTAATATTCATAATAATGCTTTGTTTTGCTGACTGCATGTTTCTAAAGCCCTTCTCTCATTTCTCCATACATGACTTGTAAATTGACACAGTAAGATACAGTAACAGAAAGAAATACAGTGACAAAGGACTGTCTCACTTCAAAAATACAGATGATGTATGAAATTAAGTGAAGTTTCTCTGTTTTTCTTTCCTATTACTAAAATGAACTTTATCAGCAAATAACTTTTGCTCAATTTCAGTGTTAATGACAACCATTGACATTTCTTTGGCAAAGTAGATGACAGAAACAGCATAATATTTATTATCTCTAAATAATGAAAACATATCATTAGGAATATAAATTGACCAGAAATTCCAAATGATAGTGTTCAAAAAGCATCAATTTTAGTTCTTGAATAGGGAGGTTTTAAATTCTTAGGTGCTATATTAAAAGGGAGTTTGGACACTGGAATGGATTGCTCAAAGAGGTGGTGGAGTCACCATCCCTGGAGGTGTTTAAGGAGAGACTGGACATAGCACAAAGTGCCATGGTCTAGTTGACATGGTAGTGTTAGGTCACAGGTTGGACTTGATCATCTTTTCCAACCTGACTGATTCTGTGATATTCTACGTACTGTGTGTAAATATATGTGTATACACACACACACACACTCTATGTACTGTGTGTAAATAAATATATGTGTATATACACACACAGAGGTGGCATATACATAAAGTATGAAGATTGGAGATCCAGCAGCCATCTGGGACTCTCCTATGGCTCCATTTACAAAGCAAATTCATTGTAAGAAAGAGTGGTGCTCATGTCTGAGGTATTCGTTAGAGCTTGGAGGAGCAGTCATAAAATAATGGCTTCTCATCCTAAATTGCAGCGTATTCGTTAGAACTTGGAGGAGCAGTCATATAATAATGGCTTCTCATCCTAAATTGCAGATAAGAAGGAAGGGTATTGTGTTCAGATGGTGGCTCTTATTTCCTTATCAGCCCCATAACCTGCTTAACGTTCTGATATGTAGTGAAACCACAGTTATTCTTAATATACCAAGATGTTGTTATCAATGAAAGATGGAGTAGCAGCGGTAAAAAGAACGGATGCAGTTTGTCCTCCTTTTTAAACCACAAGATCAGTTAATCAATTCCCTTATCAGCCCAATGACATTCTACTCTCAGGTAGATCAGCAACCTCCCTCGTTAATGTAATTCACTGTTAGGGAGGGGATGTACTGGACTAGCCAGCTCTAAAATAAACAGCTAAGAACAACAATATTTAATTTTACAGGAACTGATACAGGGCTTATCTGTCATCTACTACTGTGCAATTACTGTAAATCTATCTCTTGATCAAAATGTAGAGGAAAAGAGCAATTAGGCTGCACAAGTCATCATTACAGAAAGCTTGAAACAATACAGTCCTAGAGGACCACTCTCACTTTCAAAAATCCCATATCCATGGACACAGTGTTATAAGAAAACCAACTGCAGCTCAGTCCTAACTGTGTTGCAAAACTTTTACTGCCTCTTTCTCTACTCTTAATATAAATGGATCAAAAGAGAACCTCTTGCCCAAAATACTTGACAAAGAGTCAACAGGTGAATGAATATCAAAGTCTACCACATTAAGTTTACAACATTCTATAAATGCAGGTCAGTAATTTGTAAAAATTAGCCTTTTATCTATATATTCTACACCACTGTAAAAGCTTCCTAAGTATTGAGACTGAGAAAGAGAATTAACTGCCTTCACATCTTTGATTTCAAGTGGTTTGTTTTGGGTCAGTTTAGATTTGGTACTTATCAAAGCATCAACTGCAGGTAAAATTATTTCTGTATATCTGCAATAGAGTTCTCTGTCCAGACATGATCTCTTTGTTATATAAAAGTCTCTTTAAGTCCTCCTAGCCTAATTCTTTGTAATTTCTCATGTAATCTGTTTTTAGAAGGAACAGGGGAGGTTTCAAATGGTATCAGCTGCATTAGCTGCTCATCTTAAACCTGCAGTTTTGTTTATTTTCTACACACAGCACATGGTCTCCTGGGCTGTGATTTGTGTTCCCTTGGTGCCCCAATTAAAATAATGGGGATAAAAATCACAAATAATGAGCAGAAATGTTACCTACTCTGCCTACGGAAACCCTACGGATTTTGATGACTAGGAGTGAAGGAAATGGAAAGCAAAGAACAAACATGAGACACAATTCAAACAGTTGCACAGTTTATGTGTAATTGAAAAGAAAAAAATAAAGAAAACAGAGGGAAAAGCAGGTGAGCAACAACTCAGAGAAGGCTGAACGAGCTCCTACTTTCCGTTCCTTACTCTGAGTTTATATGAACAACTGTCAAAATGGCAAAGCACAGATCAAACACACAGACAAGGTTGGGTTTGCTCCTCTGCCAGAGCCACTCTGGTATTTGCCATCATTTGGTAGATGTTGAGGAAAGAGCCAATCCATCATAACACTACCAGGACACAAAGATGCCCTTCTGAGGGAGACAGCTCTCTTGTTCTGTTGATACAGCTCCCTCTTTGGCTCTCAAATCAAATCTTGTGTTTGTAGGAGCAAAGGCCAGTAGGTCCAACCACAGAGGGATTTATCAGACCAGTGAATTAATGTGATATGGAAAACATAGATTTTCTTCAATGGCTGGAGCTACGCACTGTCTATGCACTGAAGAGGAGTCCATTAAATTTAAGACTGATGAAGCTCTGAGACAATCTGTCAGCACCAACCATAAAGGAAATTTACTGTTGCTCCCCTCTTTTCACAGGCTTCTATTAACAGATACACCAGCAAAAGAGGAGAGAGGCAGCAAGATGTAAATGAGAGGGAGTCAGGAGGATTTCAGGAGAACAGACAGACTTTAACATAACACTTGCTATGCTTAAATAAAGTCAATGTTTAATGCAAGATGGGTAATTTTGTAATTACTATTGTGAGGACCTGAGCACCTCTCTTGTGACATTAAGATGCAGAGCTTACTGACACAAGAAGTCACAAAAAGCCTAATGATGTTGACAGGCAATAACTGATTTTCTAGTCTTTCTACAATTGATTAATTAGCCTCCAAGGAAATCGATGCTTTTATTAAAACATATTTTGGAACTCTAATCTATGGTAAGTAACTACACTTAGGTGAAGCATAGAAGGAGAGCAGAAACTGCTAAAAATGACAGCTCTGTCTTTACTGGATGACATTCTATTTTTGCATTTTTTTCATATCTTATTTTACCCTGTGATAATAATTTAGAATAATTACTAAAAAAATTGGGTTTAGCCAAATATGTAAGTTCATTTATGGTAACACCGTAAATATGTGTAAATAAATTGTCTGTCTAGAAATAGATTTAGATTATGCCAGTAAAGAGCCCAAATAATACATGGCCAAATAGTTGGGGGTTTTGTGATTTGATTTCTTTATCTAAAATATACAAATTGTGCAAAACATTTTGTGATGGAAGAGGATCACAAATAACATAATTTTTTAGTACATCAGAATGACTGACGAAAACAACTGCCTGAGCTTTAATCATGTCAAATTCAGACAAAATAGTCAATTTAAAGTATTCTAAAAACTCTGAATATACTGCAGTTGTTGTGTGGTGTGTACAGTGCCAATTGTAGGATGATGTTTCTGTCAGTCACACACTTTAGAAAAGAATAAAAGTACTGAGTTAAACTTAGAGCATGGTACTATGATTATACCTGTTTCAACAAAGTGTAGTTGGATCCATCAGTGCTAATTTTTCTTATTTCATGATGATCAGCCAGAATTAAGAAAGGTTCCTCATCTAAACCCCGGGAGAAAGAATATATTAGACTAGCTTTTACGTTAATTTATGGAAAATCAGGAATACAATGCTGAAATACAGATGGTTTGAAAAATAAATGTTACATGCTCTGATCAATGTTATGGATGAAAGAAATATTTAAAACATTCAAATGCTCCAAGAAAGATCAATGATGCAGTATAAAAATGAACAAAGCAATCAATTAGTATATCTTTCAATGTAATTGAATTCTTTTGCCTTTGTAATATGGGAACCATACTGTATTTTATCCTAATTTAATGTCAGAGATTCAATTTGAAATACATCTCGTACCATATGTTTTAATTTCAACATTCACTCAAACTATCCCTAAGATATTAATTGCTGTGGTTGCAAACTGAACACATTTTGATCACTGCTTTTTGGGATTTCAATACTCTGAACAGCATATGGATAAAGAAACAGCTCTTTGTAAAAACCTTGATTCTTTAATTCTGAGCTGGATCCAGAGTTGATTTTTTTTTTTATTCTTGGTTTTCTAGTTTCTAAAAAAATATCCCTTCAGCTACTCATTCATGACATGACTTACTTTGAAACACTTCTGACACTGACATACATAATAGCAAAAATAATAATTACATTTTTAAAAGCTGTCTTTATTTTAGCTCTGTTAAGAGAAATCTAAACTACATTTTTTTTTTTACATTACCAATGACAATTAAAAATCTATTAAAGGTTTGCATCTATTGCTCATACATTCTGGAACAGAACGTGTTGTCGGCTCTTGTGCCGAATATATTTGCATTTTGGAACGTGTTGTCGAGCCTACTCTGCTCTTGTGCCGAATATATTTGCATTTTATATTCAACTCTTAAGACATTCTCCAGTGTATAAATGATCCAAGGCATTATCCTCATCCCTGACCCTTAGTGGCTTGTGGAGAAGGCTGCAATGCTCTGCTCTGGCCAAAGGCTTCAAGGCAATTTATGCACAAAATAAGTGTTATGCCAAACATTGCCATGTTGGCACCTCCTCAAGCAGAGCTATCCCTGTCCCAGCACACACAGCTTGGTCATGGGCACTTTTGAGGTTTGATGTGTTACAACTCCAGCAAAAGTTCTGTGATGTGCTCCAGTTCCCCTTCTCATCTGAGTGATTTGTGGCTTCTAAATGTACAGGTGACTTGCAAGGCAGGACATAGACATAAAGCAAAAAAAAGCTACTGAATTTCTGCCTTCTGTGTTTAGTCTGGTTACTCAGGGAAGCACCTGAGATTGGATTATGAGACAGACAGAGGTTCCAGCCTCTTGTCATTTAGAAAGAAAACTGAAAGACTGTCTGGGTTGGCAAGGAAACCCAAAACACAGGAGTGGGGTTTTTGTTCCTTTCCAGATGATATTTTGCTTTTCCTCTCCCTGATCCAGCCAATCCCACTCACTGAAGCACATAAAAATAACATCACAGGGGTGAGAAAATAACCAGTGTTCTTACGGATCTTGAACTTCACTGTGTATTATGGATAAGACTGAAGGATTTCATATGTTATAAGAATAAAAGTATTTTCAATTTCTATTACTTTTTCCTGCTCCTCCTTTTCATATGAGTAAGTTTCCTTTACATTCTAATATTCTAGGGTCGATGAAATAAACCAGAAACCTTTTAAACTCTTATCATCAACATACTATTGCCATGTGACTCAGAAGTAGAACTAAGTGATATATTTTAACTTTCCTAATACATTTTCTAATAAAGTCACTAATTCAAACTTTCATAATCCACTGCATCTACTCACTGCAAGTGATCTGAGGACAATACATACTAAAAATATAGCTTATTATGACATTCAGACATTGAATCATATTCCTATTTTATATTGAAGAAGTAGTAGCTTCAAAGTAACTGTTTTTCTTGCATAAAAGGGTAAGACAGACCATGGAGCTAAGGTATTTCACAAACTATTTTGAATACAGCTATAGAGTATAGAAAATTAAACAGCAATACCTGAAAGGGATTTGCAGCCATTTGGGTTATCAGGTTGTATTTCATACCCTTCTGCACACAAGCATTTGTAGGTTCCATATGTATTGATGCATTGCTGGCTACAGGGAAATCCAGATGAACATTCATCAACATCTGTACATGTTTTGCCATCATCCT